ATATTAATATTACAGAACTTAATGTAGAAAGTATACAAGCCACAATTTATAATTTAATATCTAAAATAAGTGATAGTTGTCACTATAGTAAATAACGACTCTTTCATCTTAGAAAATTACAGTTTCAAACAGTAAAAATTGCCGTTTCAATACATAGTCTATACTATGAGGAGAAGAGGAAGGTCTCACACTTGGAGAGTTTAACATTTGAAACAGTAAAAATTATACTTTTCAAATATACATTTTACCAGTCCAAGCAAGTCCTTAATTACAGTTTGATTTTTAGCGTTGCGTTTAAAATTTACCATTTTACTTTGTAAATTTGACTTTGCTTGTATTAGAAATTTACTAACTTTATTTTATACTTTTTACATATCATAACATCATTTTTTAGGTACGAAATGATAAATATCAAAGTCAAAATTCTTAATTATTATACTTTAACATTTTGGACTTTCACATAGCGAATATTACTGGTTGAAAAAGAATTTTCTTTCATGTAAGTAATAAATTGTAGTATTTAAATGATAAATATTATAAAATGATTGTTAAAATCACGATTTTACTGTTTGAAATGGTAATTTTTAGCAGTTGATCATTACTTATTATAAATCGACTATTATTTATTACAGTTTAATTTTTTCCGTGCGTCACTATAGTAAATAACGACTTTTTCATTTTTAAAATTACAGTTTCAAACAGTAAAAATTGCCGTTTCAATATATAGTCTATACTATGAGGAGAAGGGGAAGGTCTCACACTCGGAGAATTTAACATTTGAAACAGTAAAAATTCTACTCTTAAAATATATATTTTACCAGTCCAAGCAAATCAATAATTATAGTTTGATTTTTAGCGTTGCGTTTAAAATTTACCATTTTACTTTGTAAATATTGACGTTGCTTGGATAGAAATTTAGTAACTGTAGTTTATATTTTTTACATAACATAAGATCATTTTTTAGGTACGAAATGATAAATATCAAAGTCAAAATTCTTAATTATTATACTTTAACATTTTGAACTTTCACATAAAGAATATTACTGTTTGAAATATTATTTTCTTCCATGTAAATAATAAATTGTAGCATTTAAATGATAAATATTATAAAGTGATTGTTAAAATCACAATTAAATTGAAACAATATTTTTATCGTTTTATCTTCAAAGCTCCTCTTACTATTACAAAAAAAATTTTTTTTTCCTTTCATAAAAGTTTTGAATTCTTACAGAATTCTCAGTAAAGTTTTACTTAAAAAACGAGTAAACTGCTAGAAAATTCCAAAGTCAAACTTGAAGTAGTATAAACTTTAGTTTCTCATCCGTTCATTACAACCATACTTTGTATTAAATTAAACAATATTTAAATGTAACAACTGATATTCCATTATATTATTTTTAACTCTATTTTTTGAGGAAACAATTCTTAAAGTTTTGCATCAGTAAAGTTATTAACTTCATTCAATTAAACGAAGTAATGTCAACTATTTAGTTTTTTTTTTACTTTTTACGTTAGAAATGATTAACAATACTTAAAGACAAAATAATTTTTGTAAATATTTGGTTTAATGTTTCAAAATTTAATTTTATGGAAAAATAAAATTTTTAGAAACTTAAACTTGGGATAAACTGTCTAAAATTCATTTTAAATTAATTCCCGATTTTTTACAGTGTAAGTAATTGGTAATTACAATATATGTACCTAATATAACGTATACTTACATGTATTCTGTGAGGCTGAATTGATTATCATCCTTATTGGGCCAATCACCGTAGCAAACCAATCTGACGTCACCGTTGGGAAAAGTGACGGTGTATATATTGAAAAAAATCAAATTTGGTAGCGATAGTATCGATGAGACTACCCATATTATTAACGCAACCATCAAAGTCGTTCGACGACTCATCTTCTGGCGTAGCGGCTTTATGATCGCTCTGTACCTGCAACCAGAAAAAATAAATTTTCCAACTTTAATTACAGAAAGTACTAAAAAGTGATTGATAATATTCCAGCGCTCAAAGCACTTCAAAATAAAAAAACTATAAAACAATTCTCTTTTATTTTCCCACATACGCAACCATACACGCTTACTGTTTGCTACTTATTTTTACTTTTACTATTTTTTTTCTCTTTATCTTTTCAATCATAAAAACGATAAAAAAAGTCTACCTACGTTTCCGGTCGAGAAGTTTTTGGTTCAATGCATGAATAAAATCCTACGTTCTCACTTTAGCTCGAGTGATTGAAATTAGTTATTACCTCAATCGATCGGTCTCGTTTCTCGACGAGTTGTATTTAAAAATTTTCTTTTTATTTTTCTTTTTACTGTTAACAATGTAATTTTTTTTTATTTATGGTAAAACGAATGACTCATTTAATTTGAACTTGTGTTTAAATTAAACAAAATTTTTTTTTAACTCAATTATTGATTTCAAAATTTAAAATGCCGTGATCAAAGAAAAATTTTTGGACTCTTTCGATATTAAAATTTCAGACAAAGTTGTAGTTAACTTTTAAAAAAAAATTTTTTTTTGTTTAATTTTAACCCGTTAAGGATATACGGGGTCCAGCGGACCCCAGGCGAACTTTGAAGCAATTTTAAATTTATAAGGAGGTTTATAAATGAGACTTAGTCTCATTTACGACTAATTTCATTGATATTCTTCAAGATAATTCTATTTTTTTATTGTAATAATTATAATGAAAGAGTTTTATGACAAAAAACTAAATCTTTCTATATTATTTTGCATATTTAAATGTTTTATTCTCATTTTAAGCGACTGACCGAAATTCGTAACTTCAAACTTCAGAATAAATAGATTTTTTTCAAATTTCATCAAATGTTGATTTTTTTTTCTCAAAATATATTGTTTTCCAAATAAAATGGCGTCGGTTTTTTTCGATATCGTAAAAATCAAAATTTCTACGACTTTTTTCATAAAAACAAGTTCAATTTCGTAAGTATCTTTTTCTAAACGATTTTTCAGTATTTTTAAATTATTAGAAATTAAAAATAACTATTAAGATATTTAGAAGGAATGTTATATTGAAGTTTGGTGCTAATAACTATAAGTCAATACATCACATAGAAAATGAATTAAAACTGTTTTGCTGAGTGGGGTCCTTTAGATAATAAGAAGTGTGTTACTTTAGATAATAAGAAAAAAATTATTCCGGTATGATCATTTTTTCGACCAATTTCCCTGAAGAAAAGATTATGTTTAATGTTATTATTCACTATGTTAAACAAAAAAATTGTTATTGAAATATATTTTATGTGCCTGAACTTTGTTAAAAATCGTGATTTTTGGAAGCTCAATAATATTATATTTAAAAAATTTCCAATATTTGTTTCTTTTTCATTCTAATCCAATTGATTAAATTTCAAAAAGTAATTACTTCAATTAATTTTAACTCAATAAAACCTTTCAATAATTGAATTGTAATAAAATTTGTCCTCCGCATTCCATCTATAAATAAAATTTCTGAATTCATCAATCAATCACATATCAAATTTCTCCCACTCCTCTTTTTTATTCTTGTACTTGTATATCAAATTTCATGTATGTTGACGTTATTTTTATTTACGTAAATATTCCATCAGTAATTTCTCGAGTTTCCAGTTTTGCGTTTTTCCAATAAATTTTTACTCCGTAACTTGAAAACCGAGTCCATATATGACGCGCGCATATTATAAGTATAAACATAAATATAAATATCACTCGGACGTAAAAGTTAAATATTTATACAAACATACAGCACGGACATTTTATTAAAATGGGAACAAATATTTACAATATTTGTCGGTAGAAATTAAAAATTATTTACAGAATATCAGTGAAATTATTTTTCTACTTTATTATAAACGGAACTAGAGTAAGCTTTTTACGTCATATCCCATATCAAAACTTTTACTTACTCTTTACGAAAGTCGAGAGTGAATGATTGATAAAGAGCCCGAGACATTATTACTGGAAACTCTGAGATTTTCGGTTAATCGATCACTCATTTTTTCTAATTACAACTTCTGACTTCTGAGATTTGTGTCCATTTTTCAATTAATATTTTTAATATATATATTTATAAACTTGTCAATGGTAAAGTAAAACAATTGTGGTTATCCAATTAATGTACAAGAAGTTTTAATTAAACTAGCAGTTTAAAAAAACTCGAATTAAGAAAATAATTTTTTTATTGGATAACAATTTATTCTTGCTTTCTAATATTTAATTAATTCGGTCTTCATCGCAATAAACAGCAAATATAATGAAAAAAAGTTTGGAAAATCCAAAAGTGCACGCCTCATAATCTCATTTTCCATAATAAAATTAATTAAAATAAAATACAAAAAATACTTTTAAATCTTTCGCGCCACTGTCCACCCAGAAAAGAAAGGTACTGCGCATGTATTGTGAACGAACCTTATTAACATAGATACAGATATACAAACGATTAGTGGATTTTTAGTTTATTGCTAATTATCAATAAACTACATTGAATGAGACCGTCATCTTCGAAAGGACTTAGTATTAAATCATACTGAAGCATATAAAAAATAAATGGACTTGATCAGTTAAGTTTTTCGGCAGTTATCGTGATCACGCCAGTTTCCATACATACATTTGACAGCCGGACATCCACGGAATAATTTTTTTAAACATTTTTTTTATTTATTTAAAAAGCGAAATGTCTTTTAAAATTGTCATAAGTGTTAAAACTAGTGTTTTTTATGACATTTTTGTGTAAATATTTAAGTTAATATTTAAACATATTAATGTAAATCTCACTTGTATATTGTCTCTCACATCTTTAGTTAAACTTCTTTAGTTGTACATCTTCAGCTATATATCTTCAGTCAATTTTTATTATAATTATAATTAATTTAACATGATATTAGATTTTTTGTAATATTTGTAAATACTCGAATATTTTTTTAATATCTTGTTATGTTTGTTTTATTACTTCTTTCATATAAGCTACCAGTACAGCGCACTTAGTTTTAAGTTATACTATGTAAGAATATGTATCAACTTATTTAGAGACCCTTATTTATTGGCCTTGGCTGTTGGGTTGTATCAAAGGAAATAAATAAATAAATAAATAAACTAAGAAAATAATTTTGAAAAATTTTATTGTCTTGAATTAAAACAAAAAATTCTTGAATCAAGTAAAATTTATTTAAACCAAAAAAGATTTCTTATTATAAGAATTTTTCTACTCAAATAAAGAAGATGATTTCTTCAAAATTATTTACTTACTTTAAGTAAATTTTTTTTTAAAGAAAAACTTATTGACCCTCAATAGTAAATAAATTCCAATTTATTCAATAATTCGAAACTTTTTAATAAAATGTTTCATATCAAGAAAATAATTTACATGAATCAAAATATTCGTCGTATTTTTTTAAATTTTCTCGAGCAAAAATAAACTTTTTTTCTGTGTATAGGTACGAGTTTTATATGTATACAGTTAGTAAAAAACTCGGATTACGTTTACTTTCAGACACTGACAACAAGCAAAAATAAACTACGGATATATTTTGCGTAAGTAGATGCAAACTTCTATTTATAAACTTTTTTTCTATTTGTTACTGTTTCTACTTTTATTTTATCGTAGTTTATTTTACAGAACGAAAATCTCGATGGATCGAAGCAGACTAGGAGAGAGATTTCGTTTCTTATTTCTCTATAGCGAAGCTTAAAAATCCATCTGACCTCCGCAAGGTCTTTTCGTAAGCACTGACTTTCGAGATTATTTTTTTTTTTCACCGTTATTATTGTTATTATCATTTCTAGTCGTTTTCTATCGCTTTATCTCTCTATTGATTATGACAGCAAAGTTGAGGAAGTGAATTTCGTGAACGTGATTTTCGCAAATTTTACTAATTACTCCGCTTTATACCTTCAAGCGCATTCAAATATTCGAATATTACTTTTTCTTCTGAGATAACTTGATACACACCCAAGTATTTAATTATGAAAAATTTTTTTTAAACAAATAATTTAAGTGTCCCGTATAAAAAAAAATCGTCTTAAATAATCGTAAGAAAATTTTAAAATAGTCTTAAAAAAATTTTAGACGATTTTAAGCTAAGCTTACAGCGACAGAGCCCCGGAACATTAAAACGGAGCGTCTTAAAATTATCGGATAATAATTTTTTAACAATTTCAAATTCAATTTAAAAAGAGCGTACTCAAAAATGTTGCAGTTAGAAACTCATAAAATCGTATAAAAAATGTCAAGATTAATTTTCATTAATTCGAGAACTAAGTATCAAAAATCTGCTCTTGGAATTTTTTTTTGGCGTTTTAAACGAGTCTTGGTTTGTGTCACGTTTAATATTTTAAGATTTGGAACAAACGACATTTTTAAAACAATTTTAAGACAATTTTTTTCTACACGAGATATTACGTAAAATTTATTAATTTTTAATCTTAAAATTCTAATTTTTTCAGTAGTAAAATATTCAAAAAATTCAACAAAAAAAATACTTGGTAAAACAATTTTCACCCCAGCTTATTTATAAATTATCGGTTATAATCTGTCTACACATCACTGATATATGCTCCGTTAAATAAGGTTTGATTTTAATGAAATGGACAATAATTAACTTGTACCCAATGTTATTATCCGCCGTAACAAAATTAATTTATAATTTAAATTATAAAAAGACTAAATTACATAATAATATATAATTACCAAATATCATGGAAGTTATTAACTAATTTTTAAATAATTACATATTCCATTTACGAATATGAATCACACAGATGCCAATAATGCTCTTAATTAGGCTTATTAATCACAAAATAATCATTTCTCAATAATTCAAATTAAATTGTTATTATTATTTATTTATTTATTATTGTTATTGCATTGACGGAATAATTTTGTTTTGATTAAACTTAAATAATAAAAGAAATCATTTATAAGCGCCTTTTATCGAAGTGAATTTTTTCACGCTCAAGTTATATGTAAGTAGGATAGAACTTTTTTCAGCGACTAAGCTCCTGATTTAGCTACAATCTCATTCACGATTATTCCACAGTATTCCACAGGCTTTAAGGTTCTCAACGAAAGTCTTACTTATATTATACATTATACCAAATGCCGCCGTAGATATCTGAATTTCTATCGAAGCTTTCGTGACCCGGAGTAGAGTAACAAAAATGAAACAATTGTAGAACGAGAAAGTAGATAAAATAAATATACACTTTTCTATAAATTCTTCATTTTTTTCTTATTCTCTTGCGACAATCCTTGAATTTTTTATAAAAAAATTCAAAAAATTTTTTCAATCAAAATAATTGCTTCAAACTTCGTG